AGGTGGGTTTAAGTACTTGTGACCCATGTTTACAACATGATTTTTCATCATTTTAGAATCAGTGGTAAAAGCATCCATGTCAGCATTATCTTCAGTCCTTTAAACAGATTCTCCAAAAATCAGTCAACTCATGTGACTTAAAGAGTGACGACAGACGGGCCAATCACAGGGCCTCTAACATGTGATGTGCAGTCACTGTTCTGTCTGAAGCAGCTGAAAACTATCTGCAATGACAAATTAAAGGCTGGCACTGGAAGGAGACCCCAGCGTCATCATAGGAGAGGTTATAATGTGGGCGTGGCCTGGGAGCACTTCACCACCACTCAGAACTGGAAGGTGTTGCTGAGGAGAACAGTCTGAAAGACCTGCTCAGCTTGCTGCTCTGCACAGAATAGGTGGTTGGATGAATTTTGACCCCGGTAGACGACTGGAGGACTCTTCCTGTTTAAATGGAGTTCTTCCTTTCCACAGTTGCCAAGCGCTTCCTTTTATTTAAGAATTAATTTCTGTTTATTGCGAACATTTTTGTACAATCCGTGTTTTGCTCCCAGAGGATCATCTGAATGTTGTGGGTCAGTATAAAACTCCTGTTGTTGTGAAATGTGTAAATATTTAACAATAAATGTAAATAAACGAGAGGTTCCCGTCACTGATTTACACCGCGGACACTCTGACTGACAGCCCGGACAGCCAATAGCTGATCACAGACCGGCCTCCCAGGGACCAATCAGCGCAGCTGCTGCTCCTACCTCTGCCGGATGACGGTGAGCTGGACGCATTTCAGCACCTGGGAGCTGTCCGCCGTGCACGAGCCTGCCGACAACTGACGGTAAGACGAAACACACGCGCACAGACACACGCGCACACACGAACTGGTCGCGTGTTTGAAATGTTGAAAAATTAAGCCAGGATCCGTGTCTTCAGCAGTGTGCGTGTGTGTGAGTCTGTGGGTGTGAGGTTCCTGCGACACGCAGGTGTCTCGTGGATCAGTCGCGGTGACGGAACCTGTTGATGCGTCGACATGTTGTTGAGGATCAGATGAAATAATGGCGGGAGCGCGCAGAGCTTTTAACCCCCCGTGCTCCACGTCAGGGTGCGTGACGTGGTCGGGAGGACTGTTGTGAGTCCGTCCACAGCGCGCGACTTTGTCGTTTATGAGGCCCGTGAAGTGTGCGAAGACCACCGTGACGTCAGCGCTTCACCGGGGGGCGCTGACTAATCACACGAGTGCCGCGTGCCGTGTCACCGGGTCTCCGCCGGGTGTACCTGTAGAGAGCAGGTACACCCCTCCCCCTCCTGCATCATTCAGAGCTGAGTCCTGATTGGTCTCCTGGGGTGTGTTTAGTTTTAATGGAGCTCATTCACAGATTATATTTCCGCACAGGAGGAGCTCAGGAGGCCCAGCGCAGGTGTGATGTTTGTTACTGTTCCAAAATGTTCACTTTTAATAATAAAGGTGATTCAAGGAGCCCATCAGCACGGTCACACCAGACAAACGAACACCTGACTCACCCTAATCTCTACCTACCTACCCCAAGCACCGTAGCCTCTGTTATTGACCGGTTTACCTCTGACTTACTTTGCTGTGCTATTACAGGTAATCAATATGAAAAGGTTGTCACATCTGGAGCCAGATGTGAGCCTTTGCTGACCCCCGGTCATGTGTTTATATCCTATGGAACTGATTAAAGGTCAATGATGTTATTTAATAAACAAATAATGTTGTAAACAGATGGTGGACGGTTTCAGAGGTTTAAACTGGGTCTGGAGCCTCTTTCCTGCTGTCTTTGCCTGACACGCAGCTCATGATGCACTGTTTCTATCAGAGACTGTTTAGGCTGAAAAACAACAGGAAGTGATGCATAAAAAAGTGTTTTTGTTCCTGTGAGAAACCAGTTTGCACTCTCGGGAGCTCTCAGGTACTGGAAGCCAGCTCAGGTTTGAGATGATGATGCAGATTATTTAGAAGTAAAACGATTTTAAAAGTCTCAAATCTTTAAACACACCAAAATATTTTTTAGGGGTTAAAAAAAAATCAATCTTTGTGTCCAAACGTGTTGACAGTGTAGTCATCACTGTGGCTGCACACGGTTACTGTTTAGCTGATTCACACCATTATCTGTTTAATGGAGGATGATAAATGAAGATGTAAATCAGCCTATTTGCACCTGACAGGACGAGGTTACAGGCCAGCACATCAACAGGTGTTTGAAGTTACCTTTGATAGCGACTCCTCGCTCTCCTCTTTCCTTTCTGCCTTTGTAGCTTCTCTGATTTGGTGAACTGGCCCTTTAAAGATGATCACTGACGCCACTTCTTTTTAAAAAATTATAAACGCGTAAAAGATCAAATCAAACCAAACTACTCGCACAGAGCTCGCAGTGTGTCTGTGAGGTATATCATGAAGGTG